ACGTAAACCGGTAACATATAAGCATGTCCGATAGCGGACGCGAGGTGTCTGACACATCTCACTGGGATCATCCGATCAATTCGATACGCCGATCTGCCACGCTCCCGCGATGCATTCAGCTCAAGATTAACATAATAATATATCCCTTGTGCTACTTCCATTTAGGTTGAAAATGCACCAGCAGTTTTAAAATCGTTGTGATATAAATCGAGCAGACACAACAGTATCGCTATGGCCCGCGGCTGCCCGTTACACGATCTAGGGATGTCGAAAGTTGAAAAAATAATCGATATATCGATACATCGATATTTTAAAAAATATCAATATCGGCTTCGATATATCGCGAAAAAACATCGATATATCGGACCAATTTTTTCCAAATATATATTAAGGTCAGCCTAGCACAATAATAATAACAATACAAATTATAATTAAAGAAAGAATTATCAAAGTACCAAATTGCCGCTACACTACATGACAGTACAGTATCTCACAAAAGATGACACGCGGAATAATAATGGAACGAAAATGATCTCCCTAAAAATAGACCCTATTTTCGAATGATGAAAATGATTGCAGGGCCTCTCAGATGCCATCTTTCGATCACAGTCAGACACTTCCACGGAATATAATGGAATTCAGCACAACCAATTCACCAGATTTACAAATCATAGACACACTAAATACTAAATACAGCATAGATCATAAATATGTTGAATATCATTAATCTGAGATCCAGTTACGATTTTTCCAGATACGAATTTAGTTAGATCGTGATAATCCGCTAATAATTAAAAAAAATATCGTTTTTGATCCGAATTTCGATATTGGTTATTTTGTATCGATGTATCGATATATCGAATCAAAATATATCGGCTAAAAATATCGATATATCGAACAAAAAATATCGATATATTTTCAACTAGCCTAACACGATCCACCTTCCCAATCCGATCTGGGGCCAAGACTAATAGGGATTTTTATAGAAGTAAAAGTATGTTTATGTCGTAGTTTAGTGTTCTGAGTTTCTAGGTTGAATTTTAAACTTACTTATTTGTTTAGAGATAAATACCAGAATCGGGCTTATTAAATACTTAAGCAATACAATACGATGCAAAATTATTAGTCGTGAGTGCGAGGAGCTCGATTGCGCCAGTGGTTAGCGCGTTCGGCTGCGGTCGTTGAAGTTGAGCAACTTTCGCAGTGGTCGGTCATTGGATGGGTGACCAAGAATTTACTATCTCGAGCTCCTCCGTGCTTCGGAAGGCACGTTAAGCCGTTGGTCCCGGCTGCATCTGCAGTCGTTAGCACCCACCAACCTGCACTGAACCCGCGTGGTGGGTCATGGCCCAATCTCCCTAATCCATTCATAGGGAAGGCCTGTGCTCCAGCAGTGGGGACATTAATAGGCTGATGATGATAATTGAACTGCGTATAAAAATTGCTAAATTCGAGCTTTGGCTCTCGACGATTTTCACCTCGAAAATATAACATATGTAATCAATTAATATATGTAATCTAAAAAAAAGTGCCCTATATTAATGTTTTTATAGCACAGTGTGACCTAAACCCGCACTTTACGCACGCTTTTCAGTGACCTAAGTTGCCTATTTCTGCACGGTGTGTAAATGAATTGACCAACTTCACTCATGTAGAAAAAAAATGGTTGCCTGTAAAGTCGGTTTTACGGGCGAAGATATTACGTGACAACGTCTTTTTCTCGGTAGAATATTTATTGATATGAATATAATTAAATTGCACAATAGGAACAAGGAATTGAATGAAAATAAGAATTGCACAAATTTTAACTATAGAAATATATTTTGTTTACTAAAACATTGTACATGTAAACTTAAACTTAACACGAGAGACTCATCGTAACGTTACCGAGCGTTACACTTTTTCATAAGTGACTCCCAGCCGCAACCTAATTTAAGACGTTGTCACGTCAAAATAAAAGGAAACACATTTAAATGTCATTTGGAGCTTAAAAACTCACAGCAAACAAATGACAAATTAGCGATAGGTTAGGAATTCTTGTTTGAATTATACGAGTACAAAAAATAAAGCTCATTCCCGTTGTTTAATATATTGTTATGCCAATCAAGGAATAAACGTTCATGGATACATTGAAATTCTATTTTGTTGTAATGATATAATATTTGATTTTTTCCTTTTGAAATATACTTTCAAAATGGTAATCTGAACCGGAATTCTTTCTTTTCAGAGTTTGACTTGCAGTCTGTATTGCAATTCTTTGTGATTGCAATACATGAATTTTACTTTCAAACACTAATCGCATCCCTCGAACTCCCCCCCCCCCCCCTTTTGCCCGCGTCCGTGGCGGGTTTATGTCACACTTGCTATAAAATAGTATACGATACTTGTGGCCTAAGTTGTCTATTACTTCACGCCGTGCAGTAATAGGCAACTTAGGTCACGCGTATCGTAATGTACTATTATTTACCTATACGTAAATCTGCCATCACTGAAATCTGTGTTGTCATGAAAATCTATGCAGTAGGTTGAAAAAACAATGAAAGACTCAAGTTGATCAAAAATAACAGAATAAAAAAGTACCCAAAATAGCTGTAAACCTAACTTTAAATAGGAGTTATTAGGGATTTGAGGTTATGTCACATTTTTTACAATAACATTAAAACCCCTGTTTTTATTTTCAAAATTCCAATTTGTCATACTAATTTGAATGAAACAATCATTTAACATTTGTTTGGTATAGATGCAACCATTGTACGGCGGTCCATACATCCATGAGCATTCTCCTTTTACCCATACAATATTAAGTAGTATAATATAATACTATGCCTCTATGTTTTGCTTTTTTTGTAAATGCTTATTGAATATCTAGACTAGACGTCATTTTTGGCATTTTTGAGGGGTTCTGGTTTCTTTAAAACACAAGTCATCGAAAAAAGGAAGTGATAAAAATCAAAGAGGAATCATTCGAGAATGTTTCTATGGAAAAAATCATTGCCCGCCTCCCCTCTTAACGTCGTAACTTTCGTATTTCATTACAAAGTTCCTGTGGCCCACCTACCATTTCCAACATCAGATCAGATCCACATCATCATAATTTTTCATTGTCGCACGATATACGTAAATGCGTGCAATATTTAGTGTCGCCGCACACGGGCCACCGACCACAACCACAAAACCCCGCCAAAGGCATATTTCTTGTAGTTTTCATACATTTTATATGGACTAGCCGCACACGGTACGCCGGTGGCCTCGACACGCTACAAATCGTCGTTGCTCGCTTCTTGTGGCCCGCACCGGCCATTTAATGCGCCGATACAAAACGCCGCCACACGTCAGTCGCGCGATTCCCCGCCCCACGCTCCCTTACCTTAGTTGGCGGCTGTCGCGCTTCAGCCACTTTAGTAGCCGCTTCTAGCTTCTCGTGGCGCCTTTTGTGGCTGTGGCGTGTGGCCCGTGTGCGGCGACACTTAAGCTCAATCGGAAACCGGGGAAGTGTGAAATTTAACTTGCAATATTTCATTACAGCCAGACAACTTACAAGTGAAAGTAAATAAAAGCTTGTAAATGAAAAGAAACTTAACCAATTCCTATTATTTATTTAAGGAATAGTTGACTATAAAAGCTTTTATTGACCATCAAATAAAAGGGTTTTATAGATTACTGGGCGGTTTAATGTCCTTAACCTCATAAGTTTCATGATCGTATAAATGTTTCAGTATTAACTCTAAACCGTTGATTACGTTAAATGAATTGGCACTAAATATATTTAAACGCTCGCTACGATGATGTAATGGAAGGTGACTTCAGAAGTATCTCTGAAGTCATTTTTCATCTTGACAACTCTGTATATATCAATACAGGGAGAAAAAAGCAGCCCTTGCTGAGTTTCTTGCCGGTTCTTTTCAGTACAAGGTCTCCCGCCGTAGTTTTGCGAACCGATGGCGTAGCTCCTTGACCTTCACAAGTGCTTGTAACAGCATAGACTGAATAAATGACTTTTCTTTTTATTTCAGAACATTAATAGACTTATGACGAAGTTGATTAAAACATTGTAAAGTAATTGAGTTCCTGTGACATATGATAATTATGCAATATCATAAGATTTATACGCAGTTTCAATTAGTTTACTTTAGCTCTCTAAAAGACAATGAATTATGTCACAGCACAGCCACAAAATACTTATCGTCAGATAGCGTAGGTGTAGAGATCCATGGTAGGCTTATAGTTAGCTGGGTGTCGAATAGCTGATATGATAAGACAATAGAATTAGTAAGGTTTTCATATATTTTTGTTTAGCTGCCCTCGTGTAACACAAGAACTGTTTCTTTTCTATAAATTTCTATCTTCTTCATAATCAAAATCATTTATTCAGTTTAGGCTGTTACAAGCACATATGAATGTCTAGAAGCTACGCCATCGGTTCGTAAATCTACGACGGGAGACCTTGTACTGAGAAGAACCGGCAAGAAACTCAGCAAGGGCTGTTTTTTCTCCCTGTTTTATCATTTACAGAGTCGTCAAGTTGAAAAATGACTTCAGAGATGATTCATGAAGTCACCTTTCATTACATAATGTGAAATTATACATTAATTGTTCACCTGCATTTTGATTGCTGTGTCACACAGTATAAATACAAACAGAGTTATTTATAATAGGTGTAATTAAACATTTACATCTTAAATATCAAAGTAGTTAGGGCAGACTCATATCTGCTGGCAGCACCCGTTTACGAGCATGACGCATGAACCAGCCATCGCTTCGCTCAACCATATTTTAGGGAACGTAACGACCCGCCTCACACGACACCACCGAAGAGACTTTTAAGAGAGCATGACTACCCATAACCACCTATATCAACCACAACATATTTACTTCGTTTTAGAATTCCGTGCCCGAAGTCTTATTCACAGTCACGAGCTTTACATTATACCGCGGTGCTCATGCCATGGGGGGCTGAATTGTTAAATGTTTAATGTATGAGGTGTGATTTGTTTTCGCAGACCGTCGAGCGGCTGCCGCCCGTCAGATGAGGGCGCGTGGTGCGGCGGCGCGGGTGCCGGCGCTGCTGGTGCGGGAGCGGGCGGTGCTCGTGCGTTGCGCGTGCGTGTGAGCGGGACCGGCGCGGCCCCCGGTCCAGCGCATGCGCGTCGCCTCTCGCCGCCGCCGCACGCGCACCGCGCTACCACGCCGCCTGCGCCCCTCTCTCCCAACGCTAAGCGTAAGACAAATGTTTCTTGTACATGTAAGTCAACGATATTAAATACCCTAGATACACCAACACGAACAAAACCGTGCCCGAAACCTGTCCAAAAGGTACACGGAGCTCCGTAAGATGATCGTGTTGTCAAAAACAATATTAGGCATTATTAAAAAATAGAAAGTCACCTTAAAAGCCTTCTATATAAGGTCTTAATTCAAATGTATGCGTCAAAGACTTGTGACATTTCGAAATGAAGTTCGTAAAATTTTACGACTTATTGCTGTATGCGGAGCAATATAGAACTTATTTCTTTGACTATTTTGATTGCGCTGTGAGCAATACAGCAGGTACGGACCGCGAGGAAAAGAGATAGCTGTATAACCGAACATATAATTTCAATATCACATATAATTTTATTAAATCAGTTTATAGTAAGTATTAGAACAAAATTTGCTTCAAATGCGTTAATTTAACTAACATTGATTCGATACCTGTCAAAAAACGACACTTCACATACTATAAATATTTTTTTCGCATTTTTCCACGGAGCTCCGCGGCAACTTGACTTTTAAACGGTCCGCGCATGACTGTGAACCAAGAAGTGCTTCAGTGGAGTTCAAGCACTTCTTGATTGGGGCACATTTTGAGCGCACGTGGTGTATCTAGGGTATTTAATATCGTTGATGTAAGTTAACAAACTTTAAGTACTCTGTTCAAGGAATCAAACTGGAGCCTGAGTTTGGGTGATTTCAGTGTACCGAGCCTTGCAAGACTTTAGTATTGGCTACGAATATAAATTAGCATTTCTTTATTTTCTACTAGCGGCCCGCCCTCGCTTCATTTCGGTGTCGAGCTGAAGTGTAAACTACAGTTTTTGTTCTCAGGCTTGAGTTATACACAATGACATTCATCTATGATTCTTCTTATACCTGCATGCAAAGTCTCAGCCCGATCGGTTTAAAATGGACAAAGTTTCATACAAACTTTCATTCCCTATTTTATCCCCTTGGGGGTAGAATTGATCAAAATCCTTTCTTAGCGAACGCCTACGTCATAACATCTATCTGCATGCCAAATTTCAGCCCGATCCGTCCAGTGGTTTAGGCTGTGCGTTGATAGATCACTATGTCAGTCAGTCACCTTTGAGTTTTATATATATAGATATAATATATAGGAACAATACTAAGTGGTTGTTCGAATTCATAGAAGACTGCCACCCACCTTATAATCTCATATTTAGTATCAAAACCATCACGGGGACTATTCCCGTCTAACGTCGATTGGCGAACGCTGTCAGAATTCGACCAGTAATGGCAAGATTACATTTGGTCTTTAGCCCAAATACGAGTGCCAATGGAATAATAATAATAATATTAATAATATTTTTTGTTGTGTACGGAACAAGTAAACGATTAAGTGTCAATGAATGGTGTCGAGTAGATAGATAGATAGATAGATAATGCGTTTATTTTTTCTTCAACATACATATACATTTACAGACAGAGTAATACAATAAAAAAAAGATACAAGAATTCAGCTAGTAAATATCCATATGTATGCTGCAGAAAGCAAAATTCAGCCATCACCTTTATGAGTGAGTGGACTACCTGATAGTTATTTTAAAAATATATTTCATGTACAGAATTGACATCTCTAAGTATAGATAAACATTTAAAAGATTTTGCAAGGAAAAAAGAGAAAAAGCCATGACAATGCAGCGGAGACAAACACATATTTACTACAATATAGAGTCAAAAAATGAAGTGATTGTGGGCGAGATAAAATTAGATGATATCATACATGTATGTTTTAGTTTAAAATCATATTATCTTAAATAAAATATTGAAAAGTTTTAGATTAATGTGCATACAATGTAAATATAATCAAGCTTTTATAATTTATTTTTAATTCTCCATGTTATTATTAAAAAATGTCACCAAAAAGGAAAATTCCACCGACAGGAAATATGACATCTAGCACTTTTTGTTTATTTTTACTATATGAAAACCAAACATATACTCACCAAAGTGTTTGGATATGTAAACAAAGTATTGCACTACATTATAAAAATACTATTAAGTTTAAATATTACATTAAAATTACAAAATAGTTATGGGGACCTGTTTTGGCCAATTATCAAATATTGACCCACATATATATAATAACTATAATTACACATGATTTATTTAAAGTATTAACAAAAGTAATATCCGGAAACTGTTTGGCAAACATGGCTACCTGCCCTGCCACACATAAAACTTGGGGATGTCTAATTTTTGATTTGTAAAAAGTATATTTTTATCTTCCTGGCCGTATTTTAGTGTAACTATTGCCTCGAGTGCCCCAATTCGAGTAACAATTTATCATGGCAACCCAGTGGCGGACTAAGCTCGTCAGAGGCCCGGGGCGGCAAAATGAGGTCCCCCAGTTTTAAAGAAAAAATTTAATTTCTTAGTTTGTTTCGTTAAAATCTGGCGAGTGAAATTTAAATTCTAATTAAATTATTTAAGCTAAATAAACATACATACCTACAATATGGTACATATTGACTAGAAACGTAGGTGCATATTGACTAGAAACTACGGATTATGATTTCTAGGCTAAATTATACGAAGAATTACTTACTTTTTCCAAATACTTAAAAATGGACTAACTCAACTCCAAAGTCATTTACTTTTATACCGCAACAAAAATCAAAAGCACTATTACACTTTTTAATGAGGTTACTTTGAACGGATTTTAAAAGAGGCCAATGTTTATTTTTCCACGTAAATATAGTGAATGTTATTAAATGTAGGCGTATAAGAGTGAATTATTTGTACTTCATTCATTCAGGGGTACCTGAGGAAGTACCCGCTGCAGAGACAGGAATTCCCCCAGCGTATTGGACGCGTTCAGCGAAGTTAAAAGAATATTAGTACCGCGTAAAAAGTCTAGATGGCTGTAGTGTTTTGATCTTGATGAAATTATGTAGGTACTAAGCACATTTTTAAAGTCTAGTTTAGGATGCCTGGGGCGGGCCGCCCCTTCCGCCCCCCTGGCTGATCGATGACAAGTCTTCAGTTAAATGTGTCAGCATTTCCGTGAAGCCGAGGTGATTACATTTAATCACACAACTAATGTCACGCATTGACCAAGTTCTGCAGTTAATACCCCGTCTTAGATATTCTTTCTCCGTTCAGACGAATCAAAATTGAAATTTACAGTTACCAAACTTAATTGGTGTGTTGAGAAGCTATTGTAACATTTCATTTGTATAATAATGGTAGGCTACAATGTACATACAATTGACTTGTGAGTTTGTTAATGTCGATATAATGGAGCTCAAATTACATATTCGACCTTTCAACTGCAATTCTAAAGTGGCTAATACGAGGCAAGAATTTGTTATCTTTGTTTTGATTTTTCATCGTTGGTCTCTTCAGTTTTTCAAGCTAAATGCTTTAAGCTAAGCTAATAGTTGTCTAAGCTAATTATAGCAGGCAAAGGCAGGCAGCAGAATAACATAAGGGGGGCATCCTTGCACCTTGTGAAGTATCCTATCATCTGAGTTAGTTACCATACTCCTCCGAAACGGCCTGACCGATTTTTATGAAATTTAAGGTTCATATTCCGTGGGTCTGAGAATCGGCTACTATCTATTTTTCATATCCTTAAGTGATAATGGTTGTCCATCTGTAACGTAGTGTTCTGAAACCTCCATTGCGCATTTGCGCCCAAATTCAAACTATTGGATATTGTAACGTAGTGTTCTCATATGGATTAGGAGGAATGTTATCTCAGGAAATTGATAGAACACTACGTTACACAACCCTAATTTTTTTTGGACAATATTTATTTTTGAAGTTATACTTCTTTAGGCGCGTTATGAAAAAATGATGAGAGTGAAATTTTAAGATGCGCGCGCATCACTGTAACACAAAATTTTAACAGCATGAAGTTGGTCGCTTTAGCGACCAACTTCATGCTGTTACTTTTGTGTTTACCGCACATTAAGAAAATCTACCAACAAAATAAACAGAATCTCTATTTAGTGGGTGCTAACGACTCCATTGTGAAGGCCTATCAAAAGTATTTATTAATCTGGAACAACGGAACCAAAGCGCGATTCAGGAGACTACAGAGGCCATCTCTTGACCATTGGTGTAGTAGAACCAAAAACCACATCTTTATTTTTTGTAATAAAGTAACAGTTTAGGTATTCATATTTATAATATCAAAAGTATTTATTAATCTGGAACAACGGAACCAAAGCGCGATTCAGGAGACTACAGCGCCATCTCTTGACCATTGGTGTAGTAGAACCAAAAACCACATCTTTATTTTTTGTAATAAAGTAACAGTTATAGGTATTCATATTTATAATATTTATCCCCATGTTTCTAGTTTGTATATTCGGAATACGTGTTTGAGTTTCATACAAGTGCAAATCACATATGTTCTAATAAATTATATTCAGTAGCGATTTTAATTGAATATTTTGATTATTTATTTATTTTTTCAAATTAAAACTGAATTTTATTGACTGTGTCCTTTTCCAGACTTTTTATTAATTTATTGTAATTAATTATTTGCATGCAATTAAAAACTAATTTTAGACAATGCCAAAGAAGGATAACTTCTCACGCGCCTACGTAAGTACACGCACCCATTTTTTTTTATAATGTGGTATTAATTAAAAAATACTTACAACCCTAAAATTTCTCTTCTACCACCTGCCTCTATTTTTATGGCGGTACGAAGTTCGCTGGGTCAGCTAGTATGTATACAAAGACGATTGACTCTATAGAGTCAACCGTCTAGGGCGGCAAAAAAATTACAATCTGAATTTGAGCTACTGGATAGTTCAGTTAAGGTGTGTAATATAACTTAGCTCTATTGCTCTTCCCAAAGTAAGCTCTATAAGGCTTTACAGAGCTTACGAGGCCATTCGGAGACGGGTTCCGCGACCACACCCGCCCTCTCAGGACGCACTAGGGGGACCGCGGTCCTCATAGTGCGCGTCGGGTGACGGTGCAGGAGTATTGTCTGGTTTTTAGTGGCCCTGTTCGGGGCGTAGGTAGGGCCCTGTTCACATCAGCGAGCTCCAGGGCTGTAGAGGACAGGGAGGAGTCCCACATACCTTCTTCTCGCTCCCCCAGTGGTTGAAGGATGCGTAAGGCATTTTCCAGACACAAAAAAAAGGCTTTACAGAGCTTACTTTGGGGCTAGGCTATTTAATGTGTTGGAAATATTTAAATGAATATTAATGAGTGTTTTGATTGTATTCAGCAAACACAGAAGAGACGCCAGCGTCGGGCGAGTCAGGCGGAGTTCAGCTGAAGGCGGTCAGTGCAGTGTCCCCTCTGACGGCGGCCAGCGCGCCTGTACGGGGTGCGCCCGCGCAGAGTTCACACGCGCTCAAGCCCAAGCATGAACACGTGCACAGGCCGGTGGAAAACCAGCCAGTACCAGTACAGGTAACAGTAACCATAATACAATTAGTTATAATCTAAATTATAAAATTCTCGTGTCGCGGTGTTTGTGGTTAAACTCCTCCGAAATGGCTCGACCGATCGTGAAATTTTATATGCATATTCAGTAGGTCTGAGAATCGGATCTAATCTATTTTTCATCCCCCTAAATGTTAAGGGTAATCCACCCCTATTTTTTTTAATTTTTTTTTTTTTATTTTTGTATGATACATCATACAAAAATAAATATAACCCAAAATTTTCGCCCTTCTACCACCAACACCTATTTTCTTATGGCGGTAAGAAGTTCGCTGGGTCAGCTAGTTTTTATTATAATAAAGCATGTAACTGCTTGATGTTTAAATCTAAAGAAAATATAACTAGAAAAATGCATGCATCATGCGAAGAGATGGTGCTGCCTTGCAGCTTAAGAATGGCTAGAGGAATTTCGACGCGGTCCGTGAGGGCCGCGGTAGCATAATTGGTCAGTGTATTCGCCCGGATTGCGAAGGGTGCGGGTTCGAGTCCCGTCTGCTGCCTGGTCCGCGTGGAATTTTTTTAGTTATATTTTCTTTATACAATTAGTTGTTCACCAAAAATAGAACTTCCTAAAATCAAAGTTAGTTCAATAAACCAAAACTTTTTTGCGTTGCCTGCGCCCGCCCTGGGCGACAGCAGAGCTGTTTTATTTCAAAACTCAGGAGGCCGCAGATTTCTGCGGTCCAACAGCCGCTGCGGCTGTCCAGCCGTAGCTGCGGGTTACTCTGTCCCGAGCTCTCCCGTTAGGTGCCGCAAACACACGCGCGCTCCGCGGGCGCAAATCACGCCGTCACTTTTGCTTTTGAGTTTTACCTACAATCTGATATTCTATAATGCGATTCAAATAAGAATAGGAAAGCCAATGACCTCCATCTGTCAAATGTCGCTTGAAAAGTACGGCTTGCAAAAAAACTTGGAACCCTTTTTTAGCACTCAGCTTATTATGGAATAAAAACCAAACATTTGTAAACAAACAATAACAAATATTGTTAATTAATATTGGTTGATATTTTATTTTCATTTATTGAGCTTTGGCTCTGAATGTTTGATAACCTAAATCGTCAACCAAATGTCACTTTAAGTTGCGTTCAGAAACTCGATTTAAAACTTTGGTTTACATATAGGATGCATGTTCGTATGTGACCCAGTAATAGTGCATGATTATTCATAACTAAGTACTCCGGCGGTAATGCAGAGATGAGCGGAATTGAAGAATTTAATTCTGATTGATGTTTTTCTCGCACAGTCTCAATAAATAAATATTAAAAATCGGCTATTTTCTTTTCTCAATTTTTGTTAATAAATTTTATAAAAAAATCGGATGTTTTTTCTCACTTAATCTTAGTAAATAAGTTTTAATAAATAAAAACTTTTTTGCTCACTCTACCTTTTTCGTTTGAATTGACAGCTATGACGTCACAATATGGCGCCCCGTCGATCCTATTCTTAGTTGAAACTCATTACACGTAAGTTGCGGTCCCGCAGCCGCGGCGGGCGCGGGATAATATCGGGCCGTGAATTCCGGCCTTATTTGTGTGTGCATAGAGTTTATTTCTCATAAAAACGTACATTTTACTTATAATGAGATTTACAATTTTCACATTCTAATATTACTTTGTGACCGCTTTTGCAGTATCAGTTTAGTATACAAACAATTACATTATTGTGACTTATTATACAGCTTTGTGATAACAATATTCTTAGAATTTCCCTCTTATAAAATTTTAAAGTTAAGTGTAATATACTCTTTTAATTTACTTTTGAATGTATTTTTACAATAGCAATTTTTTATTTCATCTGGTAGCTCGATAAACAGTTGTACTCCCTCAGATAATATTGTTTTCCTCCCATAACTAGACCTTGTATTAATAACTTGTAATAAGTTTGATGACGGGGTACAGTAAACGATATTCTATTTAGTCCGTCAGTTAGATGATCAAAAAATAATGGATACGTTTTTTTCTTTGGGCAATCAACCAAAAAATGACAAAGTTATAGCGCGTCAAAGTTTGGGAGTAGGGGCTCGTGACGTCACTTTTGAGTGAATTTTCACTTTTTACAGTACACTTATTTATAAGTGTACTACTTGAGTACACTTATAAATAAGTGTACTCAAACGTGACGTCATGCGACTTTTCAAATCAATATATCTCTGCAATGTTTATATTATGTGAAAAAAAAAATACGTGTCCAATACTTTTTGATAATCTACCTGATAATCGAAGAAAAAAAAAATAGTCATCATCCCTATTTGTTGGTGTTTCTTAAGGAATGCTTAAATTCTCTTTTTTTAATAATATGTTATACAACTAACTCCATGCCTTCTTATTTAAGAAAGTTATCAGTTAAATGGTGCTATAATTTTCCTACATTCCAACTTCAAAAAAGTTTATAGATATTAACGGGATTGTTACCATGTACCTTGTTTTTTATGAGTCTCCGATATTTCGGCACTGTTGCAAGCGCCATTATCACGGAGTAACTGAAGTAATTGCTGGTAGATGTTATTAGCAGACATATCGGTCTACCCTCTGACGTCGTCTTTAACTGCGTTCTTTTTTGACTATCTTTTTTGATTTTTGCGGTTTTTACACATACGAACCACTGGATTCCACACACTAGACAATTTAAACCCATCCTCACGATTGAAATTCTTGTGTTTGGTTATTTCAATCGCATCCGTGAACAATCTTGGTATGTAGTGGCGTTCTGTCGAGATAATTTGTGGATTATGGAGCTCATTCCAGTGATTAGGACCCGAATCAATTAAATGTTCCGCGATGGCTGATTTTTGCGTATCATTATTTCTGACTGCTTTAATGTGTTCTTTCATTCGGCACGCTATTGTCCGCGTCGTTTGGCCAATATAAGAACTACCACAGCTGCAGTCGATCTTGTATACACCAGGTTTCTCCAAGAGGAAGTTATCTTTGGGAGACTGTAGAATCTGTGATACTTTTTTCAAAAAAGTTGTAATCCCGGTATTTGTAATAAGTAAAAGTGGAGTGTGCACAGGTACCTGCGGTTTGGTCTAGATAGATTAATATTGATCTCGCGCTTGTAACGACGCCTTTATTTAATGTATTTATGGAGTAATTTGCGGGTCATTACAGTCGGTAATAGACAGCACTTTCATTGCGGTTAAACAATAAATGCCAACAACTATCATTATACAAGTAAAGCCGGTTTACGTGCTGTGCTACTGAAGGTAACAATTTCTGTAAGTGAATTTTGTATTTGTAGATAATTGAATATCTTTATATATATAATTCTTCTGTGAGTGTGTATATGTCACTGAACTTCTCTTAAACGATTGGACCGATTTTGATGAAATTTTTTGTGTGTGTTCAAGGGGATCTGAGAATGGTTTAGATTCACAATTTTGTCCGCTGGACAACCCCTATTTTTTTAGGGCGGTACCAAGTTCGCTGGGTCAGCTAGTATTTATATATATATGTATATATATTTAATACCAAATGCTGCTTTTATTATATTCGGCCGTATACCGAATATCTACATATTATTCGGCCGAATACCGAATACTTAAATAATATATTTTGTCATAGAGAAATAATTGGTAAAATGAAAAATTAAAATCGATTGATAACGTATATATTCATATTTTCATTTCTGTTATATATAATCATTTAAGTAGTCATTGGTACATAACACAGGTACATAATCATCTTCTGAATTGGAAAATTGGAGGATTCTTGGTATTTCAATTATTGTGGTAATCAAAATTTAGAAGGGTAAGGTTCTCATTTCTTTTATAATCATTTATTAAGTAGTCATAAAACAGGTACATAATTTAATCATTTTCTGTATTAAACAAGTAAACAGTTTTTAATTCATTCAGTCATGTGATGAATGGTTACATAATAGCAATAATTTAAAGTTCACGCGCCGTTTTTGGCCATATCTCAAAAGTTGGTTTTGTCATTTAGCCGCATTTTAGCTTGAGGATTTACTCTACTCCACTAGATTTTGGCGCTAAAATTCAGCCGAATACTTTTGCCTAATATGCGGCTATTCGGTGAGGGCCCTAGCCGTATATTCGGTATTCGGTACACTACCGAATATACTATTCGTTGCAAGTCTAATTCTACACCCATAATTTGAATCCTCTCTACAAGATTCTGTAACCATGGGACGTTGCTGTAAGAACTAAATATTCATTAAAAGTTTCGGCGTAGAAAAACCGTAGAGGTATAACAATAGAGTGGGGAAGGCGGCTCTAAAAGTGTCCGTCTAGTAGAAAGAGAAAGAAGATGAGAGACGGCTAGCCTTTCTCTCTCTAATCGTGAATGCGCATTGGATGAAAAACCTACGGATGAATATTGACCAATCACACGGCTGCGCAGCAATACCGACCAATCACACGATTGGAGCCTTGCAAGACTTTAGTTTTGGCTACGAATCTAAATTAGCATTTCTTTATTTTCTACTAGCGGCCCGCCCTCGCTTCGCTTCGGTGTAGAGCTGAAGTGTAGACTACAGTTTTTTGTTCTCAGGCTTGTACTATACACAATGACATTCATCTATGATTCTTCTTATACCAGCATGCAAAGTCTCAGCCCGATCGGTTTAAAATTAACAAAGTTTCATACAAACTTTCATTCCCTATTTTATCCCCTTGGGGGTAGAATTGATCAACATCCTTTCTTAGCGGATGCCTACGTCATAACGTCTACCAGCATGCCCAATTTCAGCTCGATCCGTCCAGTGGTTTGGGCTGTGCGTTGATAGATCACTATGTCAGTCAGTCACCTTTGAGTTGTATATGTTACCGGCCAAACCCGATTTCAGGACAAACTAGTTTTGCCTAGGCTAAACTGGTTCTTCCTATGCGCGATAGGATTAACTAGTATAGCCTAGTCCAAACTAATTTGTCCTAAGCCCGATAGGATAAACCAGTTTAGCCTAGGCCAAACTAGTTGATCCTGATAAAAATACGCATACTCTAG